CCAGGCGCCCCCCAAATGCTGGCTCTTTAGAAAGGGGGCTTGGCAAGTACCAGCAGGAAGTTAAAGCTCATCCCCAAAGGAAGCTGGCCCCAAACAAAGACGCTCTTCCCCGAGAAGTCAGGAGGCTTTCTAAGAGAAATGAAAGAGGCCTATGTGCTGCGAGTGGCTCATGCCCCGTCCTGTGGGAAACACACAGTTGTATCTCAGTCCAGGTAATAAAAAAGAGGTAGACAGATTGCCACTCCCATTTCATAGATAAGAAAACAGAGGCTCCGAAGGACAAAGTGACGTGCCCGATGTCACACAGCTCCTGAGCCAAGAGTCAGACTTGGAACTGAAGCCTGCCCAATCCCAAAGCCCAAGGTCCTCCAGAAATAAGGGTGCTTCATCAGGAGCTCAAACTCCGTTCCAGGCTCAGTACCCTTTAAAAAGTGTTTACATGCAAATGGACTGGGTCTAGCAAGGAAAAAAAACAAAAGAAAACTGGTCTGTTTGGGGCAGGATTCTGACTGAATTATTTTTCTCTTTTCAGGGCCTGGATGATATCCAGACATCATTTTGTCATTAAAAAAGAAAAAAGTTTTAAAGAAAACGTTTCCATTATCTTGATATGGTTTATCCATCTTCTGAATTTATCCCCAACCAACCACCAACTGTACTCTGGGGGCCACCGTACCTTGCCAATAAGTGGAATGTGCTCAAGGAGCCCAGATTAATTTCAATAATGCTCAAAACAAAACCTAATTGGAAGCTAAATTAGCATCCAAATCCACACATTAATTTTTATTTACTCACTTTGGATTATTCATCCACAAAAATGACAGATAAATTGAGATAGGATTCTACTGCCCAGGAAACCCAGATAGCGCATTACAGACGCCAACGACAGGGAGCCCAGAGATGGGAGGCCCCGAGCGTGCACCACTTGAGAGACAGCATCCATCGGAGCCCACTTAGGATGCTGTGTGATAGAACACAGCCCTGGACAGCCCCCACATCTTCTGCTGAAGGACTCACACCCAGGAAATTAGGGTCCCAAGATAAAGTCACTGCTTCCTCTGATCACCACATACTCCCAGTGAATCTTAGAGTATGCCATATGCAATTAAAGCTTTCTGAAACAGAAAACCGAGACTAAATGCAGAGCAAAACATCACCTGGTTAGAAGGTCTAAGCAAAAATTCACGTGGATGGGTGTAGAAACCTCTCCCCGAGGAGCTCTTTATGAACTCGGATGTACAGAAGTGGCAGAACAAAGGGAAGCGAAACAATGTGTGAGTCCCAGGGCTGCTCAGAGCAGTCTGATCCCCAGCTGAACCCTGCCATGAGCTGTGGGTCCTCTCTGAGCATCAGAGTCCTTGTCTAAAACACAGGGCAGATAATTCCGGCCTCCTAGAACTACACGTAAGCATGGATGTAAAAGTTCTTTCAGTAAGCATCCAACATAGGGGAGTCACCTTCCTCTCCCTGCCGCCTTAAAAAAAAAAAAAGGTAAGAGTCAACTGTGAAAATAAATTTAAAAACTTTCCAAAGGGATCTGCTTTTCTCGACGGTCAGGTGTTGGGAGGACATGTTTACTGGGGAAATTTCAAACCTTTAAAATGCAACCTACCCAGTGAACAGCTGGAAATAACCTAAATGTCCATCAAGACGGGAGTGGTTAGGTAATTACAGTCTGTCCACAGAATGGGAATCCACGTACATGTTAAAGAGACCCAGGTCTTTCTGTACCTACGTGCGCGGATTCAGAACGGGTACCAGGGTGGAAAAGCAAGAGCGGGGAGCTCAGAAGGGGCCCCTGCAGGTAAAGCTTTTCAAAGGCTACACGCGATGCTGTGAATCGCTTTTCCTGGAAAGTGGCCTACAAATATCTCAGGATTATATCTCTGGGGGATAAAGAAGGCAGGTGGTTCTGTGTGTGCACATGCACACAAGCATGCTTGCATTTTTTCATTTCTAGACCTTTCTGTTTGGTTTGAAATGTCTAATCCTGTACACACGTTAACTTTAAAAAAAAAAATCATCAGGAATCATTTAGCATTAGAATTTTAGACTTTATTTTTCCTTTTTTTTTTTCTCTTTTATATTCAAAAGCCTGGTTGTGCTTTTCTTAAGGCTAATAGCATCAAAACCCCGCAGTTACCATGGAGAAGCTGACAGGGTCTGGCTGGGATACGTGGACAGAGATTCATGATTGTTCCTACTGCCCCCATCAAGAGCCTCCTGGCTGCCGGCCTCCCAGGAATCTCTGTGTGACAGTGGACAATCCCAGGTGTTCCAAATGGAAAGCCCCCAAGAGAAGGTCCCATCCACCTTACACCGCCCCCCCCCCCAATTCTCTCAACACAAAACCAGGTGCCTGGAGAAGGGCAAGGCCTCAGTGGGCTGCTGCTGAGTGAATTCATGGCTGCCTGTACCCATACTGTACCCAAAGTGAGAGAGAGAACAACAAAGAAGCAAAGTGAGGGACGGAAGAAAACAGGAGCCTGACAGCCTCGGGAGATTAACTTTAGCATAGGGCACAAGCAAGCGCAGTGAAACTAACCAAAAGGGGAAAAGCTCACTTCAGAGTCAAAAATCAGGAGGCCTTTGGGTTTATCTTCTCATAAAGTGAGCCCACCATGCATGTCCCAGACTAAAGTATTCCACAAATCAGGTCTATGGTTCCCAAATGCTGCAAGTTCGGGTTTTGCCAAGGGCTCATCTCCCAGGGACCTGGAGCCTGAGCTGCAAGAGGAGCATGAAGATATGGGGCCTTCCTTGCTGCCAGCAGAGATTCTGCCAGTTATCCAACCAGGGGATGTAGAGGGAGAGCCCTGGATTCTGGGGCTGGCCATCTAGGCTGGCTTCTGGGGTCAGAGCCAGGAGCAGGCCAGCAGTGTGATTTTAGGGGTGGCCCAAGGGCCGAACTGCTCCCTAAAGCCTGCTGGTTAACAACACCTTATCTAGTCTCCACCCCTCCACCCTAAGGCTTCCATCCTTGTTTAAAAGGTAAATACTCCAGGGGCGCCTGGGTGGCTCAGTCATTAAGCATCTGCCTTCGGCTCGGGTCATGATCCCGGGGTCCTGGGATCGAGCCCCCCAAAATAAAAGGTAAATACTCCAGAAGCTGACTCCCCATGGGTCGGCAGTAACTAAAAGGCCTTTTGGGGCTGCGGAATTTGAGAGCCGGCTCTGCATGGACAGGGAGAGGGGTGTCGAGCCAAGGGTCAGGAGGGAGGACACAAACACCTAAGGCCCAGGCGCTGGACTCAGGAGAAGCAGCAGCACCGCCAATGCCCCAGGCGTCAAACAGAACGCCCTCCGTTAGGTCTGGGGGCAGCCCCCTAGGAAGGCCACATGCAGATGGCACATGAAAAAGCAAGCTGCAATCCAGCAACCCGTCCAGGATTCCGTTTACAATTAAAAAACAAAAATTATCGGGGCGCCTGGGTGGCTCAGTTGGTTAAGCGGCTGCCTTCGGCTCAGGTCATGATCCTGGAGTCCCTGGATCGAGTCCCGCATCGGGCTCCCTGCTCGGCAGGGGGT